AAAAAAAAAGGCCATCAAGGGATACTACCAAATACATTTCACAAAGCCAACATTACACTAATACCAAAAACAAACAAGGACAACACACAAAAGAGAAAACTACAGACCAATATCTCCCATGAACACTGATGCAAAAGTCATCAATAAATTCTAGCCAACCGAATCTAACAAGGCATCCAAAAGATAATTCACCATGACCAGTGGGATTTATTCCATGGGCACAAGGATGGTTCAGCATCCAAAAATCAATTAATGTAATCCAACATATCAACACCACCTACTGAGAAAGCACTCAACAAAGTTCAGCATCCATTTATGATAAAGGCTTTTGAAATTCTCAGGATAAAAGAAACATATCTTAACCTAATAAAGGCCATATATGACAAACCCATAGCCAGTGTCATTCTCAATGGTGAAAAGCTGAAAGCCTTTCCCTTAAGGTCTGGAACAAGACAAGGATGTCCACTCTCACCACTGCTTTTCAATATAATACTAAAAGTCATAGCCAGAGCAATAAGACAAGAAAAAAGCATACAAGGAAACTAAATAGGGAGAGAAGAGGTAAAACTATCACTATTTGCAGATGATAAAATATACATAGAGAATCCCAAAAACTCCACGAAAAACTAATCAAAATATTCAAACAGTTTAGTAAAGTAGCAGAGTAAAAAAATCAACGAACAAAAATTAGAAGGCTTCCTATGTACAGTCAATCTGAAGAGAAAGAAATCAAGAAAACCATTCCTTTTATAATCAAAACAATAAAGAACAAATAATTGGGAATAAGCATAATAAAAGAGGTGAAGGACCTGTACAAAAAAATCATAAAACATTGTTAAAAGAGGGCCTCCCCTGTGGTGCAGCAGGTTGAGCACAGTGCTGTGAAGCTGTCCACAACCTCTGCAGTGCTGGTTCGATTCCTGGCTGGCCAGGGAGAGTCCCACATGGTGCGGCAGACCTCTCCTGTCTTGCCCACTGCTCCCCTCAGCAGTGTTTTTGGTCCATCTCTCTGTTCTGCTCCCCACTCTGTCTCTGGTGAATCCTCTCACCCTCCTGCACCTCTGGTCTGTACCCCAACTATTGTATAAATAAAAATAAAATAAAATAATTTTTTTAAAAAACATTGTTAAAAGAAATAGAATACACAAAAAAATGGAAAGACATTCCTGTCCATGGATTGGAAGAATTAACATTATTAAAATGGCCATCCTCCCAAAAGCAATGTACAGATTCAATGCTATTCCAAAAAATATTGCAATGACATTCTTCAAAGAAATAGAACAATTTTTTTTAAGATTTAATTATTAATGCGTACAAGAACTAGTGTATAGGCCTGAGGTGTGGGGGTTGAGAGGACTCACCACAGACAGAGTAGGGAACAGAAGAGCAGACTGAAAGAAATACACTGCTGAGGGGAGCATCAGGCAAAACAAGAGAGGTCTGCTGCACTATGTGGGTAACTTCCTGGTGAGCCCAGGATCGAACTCATGCTTCACATGCTGCAGAAACCTTCTTAGTGCTGTGCTTATAACTTGCACCATGAAGGAGGCCCAAAAGAAAACAAATATTAATGAAATTCTTATGGAGCCACAAAAGACCTAGAATAGCCAAGGCAACACTGAATAAAAAGAAGAGGAAAGGAGGCATAGGACTCCCAGATTTCAAACTATACTACAAAGCAGTAATAATTAAAACAGTATGGTACTGGAACAAAAATACACACACAGACCAATGGAATTGAATAGAAAACCCAGAATAAAAGCCACACATATATGGATTACTAATTTTTGACAAAGGAGCAAAGAATAGGCAATGGAACAAGGACAGTTTGTTCAATAAATGCTGCTGGGAAAACTGGACCACACATGCAAAAAAATTAAGCTAGAATACTACCTCACACCATGCACAAAAACCAACACAAAATGAATTAAAGAATTAGACATAAGACATGAAATCATAAAGTATAAAGAAGAAAATATAGGCAAAACACTACATGACATACATCTCTGTATATTTTTAAATACACATCACCTAAAGCAAATATAGTGAAGGAAAAGATGAACAGCTGGGACTACATCAAATTAAAGAGCTTCTGTACAGCAAAAGAGACATTAAACAAATCAAAGACACCCCAAAAATTGGGAGAAAATTTTTACACACAATACTACTGATAATGGACTGATCACAAAGACCTACAAAGAGCTAAAGAGACTCAACGAAAACAAAATAAACAATCTAGTCAAGAAATGGCAGAAGAGCTAAAAAGACACTTCTCCAAAGAGGAAATGCAAATGGAAAACAGGCATATGAAAAATGTTCAACATCTCTGATATCAAGGAAATGAAAACAAAACCACAATAAGATACCATCTTACAGCAATGAGAATAGCACATGTCAAAAGAACTAGCAACAACAAATGTTGGAAAGGATGTGGAGAAAAAAGAACTCTCCTACACTGATGGTGGGGATGCAAACTGGTCCAACAACTATGGAAAGTTGTGTGGGGATTCCGCAAACTACTAAAAATGGAGCTTCTATATGATCCAGCAATTCCACTCCTAGGTATCTAAAAAAGGACACAAAAACATCAATTCAAAAGGACACCTGCACCCCTATATTTATAGTAGTACTATATACAATAAGTAAGCCATGAAAACAATACAGATGCCAAAAAATAGATGACTGGATCAAGAAGATGTGGTATATACACAATGGAATATTGCTCAGCAATCTAAAAAGATAAACTCATGCCATTCACAGCAACATGGTTGGAACTGGAAGGGATTATGCTCAGTGAAACAGCCAAAAAGAAAAAGAAAAATATCAGATGATTTCACCTATAGGAGGAATGTAGAGGAAACAAAACCACAGTAAGGGAATGGAGGGGTTAAATTATAATAAAAAAATTATAATCAACAGGCAACTATAAATCAGAGACATCTGCAGGGGAGGTGGAGGGAGAGGATCCAAACATGATTGGGAAGAGCACAAGGGACTATGGTGATGGTAGCAGGTGATCTGGTGGCGGGAATTTCACAGGGACTACACCTGAGAAGAGAAAGCATACATCATCAAAAACGGTGTAAAATATATATAAAATTTTTTAAAAGGCCATCAGATAACTACCCAGAGTTAGGATTGCTGGATCATATGATGGTTTTATTTTCAATTTTTTGAGAAAACGCCATGTATGAAGTAATATTTTTGAGAGTACTTTTAAGGCACTTTAAATGTCTCCCCTCCTTCCCGTTCCAGAAGTAGTGTGCCTAAGAAGGGAATAGGTGAAAATAAAATTTGAAGATGAGAGCAGTTTATTTAAGACTGGGTTTTTACAGCATTTCCTTTCCCTTTTCTCAATTCCACCTCTGCTGCAGAGCTTGCACATTTCCTGTTGCCCTCAACCTGATCTGACATTTTCTGCATGGCCACTGGTGATGTTTCAGAATCCCCCATCCTATTGGACAGTGGGGTGCAGGCAGACATTTTCTGCCGTGCAACATCCAATGGTTTCTTGGTTTCTAAACATAGGGGGTGGTAGGAATCTGGAGAGAGATTTGAAAAGACAGCAGGGGCCAACTTTCCAATCTGTTCCGAACATGCCGTCTTCCCCTCCATATTATTCTGTGTTTAAAAATGTATGGCTAACCCAAAAAAATACATTGATATAATTCTTTTTTCCAATTTTATTAACTGGCTAAAAAGAGTTCAATTTAAGAACACGATTTATGTCAAGTTTATGGTTTGATTTTGTTTGGTTTTGTTTTAATATTAGAGCGCTCAGATCCCATTACTCTGTGCAGAGACTTCTATGAATTTAGGTTCTACAGGGTGGACATTCTTGGATGGTCATAATAAATAGTTATTTTCATAGATTTTTCACTTTGAAGAGAATTAGAACACTCAATAATTTTTTAATTGTTTTGTTTTTTTTTTTTAATATTTTTTACTCACAGGAGCAATGTCCTGAGAGCATGGGAGAGGACAGTGATTAATTTGAAAAACTAGGAGCGTCAGAATGGTTGAGTCAATTCCCTGAAGTCATGCCGGCACTCCCTCTTGTCCCCATCCAAATGCTAAGAGTAGACAGCACCTTAGCTGTTTCTGAGATCACAATAGTGAGTGTCCAGGAGTAAAGTGGGTAAACAGAGGCACCGTGGTGTGAGACTGGATGCAACTGTTGTGCTGTATAGGAGAAGGGAGTCAGCATTCGATTATTGGCTTTGAATTGTTGTCAAATAGTGGCTTTGGTTGACAGGTTTTTGGATGAGGTAATAAGTGGGTTAGAGAGTTCAAGACCCAGAAATATTTTGTAAAGAATATTACATAAATAAAAACTTCTGACCCTAGAAAACACTTAGGAATTTTCTCCAATCATCTCATTTTATAAGGCAGAAAACCAACATCTAAGGAGACGCACAGACTTGCCCAAGGTAATGCAGCAAGTGGCACCCTTGGGAATGGAACTTAGTTTTCCTATCAGTCAGGTTATTTATCCGGGGTCTTCTCAAAGCTCACTCCCCACATCTAGTCAGGCTGGTGTGAATACACTGTTCATGGTCACATCGTTTCCGATCAGCCCCTGGGCTCCCTCGCTCTCAGGAAGGCCCTTTCCAAGCAGCAGGAAAGCCCCACCAAGTATTAAAGGTTCTCAAGCCAGTGAAGGCCCAGAGCTGCACACTGGACAGTCTTAAATCAAGATGGGGCTGGTAAGGGGCAGGCAGAGGGATATTAAACAGGGGGAAATTCTCAACAAAGAAAGAACATCATGTCTTTGAAAAAAGGAGGAAAGATAGATAGTTGAGGGAAAACGGTTTGACCATAAAGTATCTTTCTCTATTGGCTTCACTAAGCAAAATTGAAAAAAAACTCATCTGAACACCTAACCACAAAGAGCAACGTACGGGGATGGCCCTCCCAGTAGGGGATTTCCAGCAGAGCAGCTTCATATAGGCTGGTGCAAGGCCCTTGCCTCTGTCTTCTTTTTGCAGCCCGGACTGAAAGATGGCTCCCAATGCCTCCTGCCTCTGTGTAAGTTGGGGTTTAATGAAGGGATTTGAAAGGGAAAGCGCCTCCAGGACTTGGAGACATGGAGAGACTGGAGCTGGCCAATGCTCAGGGAGGCAGGGAGGTTGGGAAGATACCTCGAATGGCGTGCGATGGGCACTGATCTCTACAGAATATAAGGGAAATTTCTGTCTAGGGAATTTGGTCACCTGAGTTCTCCTTTGTTTCAGACCGTGGACTGTCCACATTCAGGGATAAATAGTCGAAAGTGGGGTGAGCTTTGTGCTCAAGAGAGCTGGCAAGATTGGAAACAATGAAAATATCATCATAGGCCCCTTTCACCTTATCCTGTTTAGGGGTTTAGGACTCTTGAGCTTCCTTCCCCTCCCAAAAGAGAAATTGAAAATCTCTTAAAATCACTTATCCTAAATTGTTAACGAACTGATGCATTACCTTATATAAAACTACAGGCACTATGCAGAGAACCTGTTGTGAAAGCTTAACACAGACAAGTGGCATTCCAGTGAGGACTGTCTGTGGCATCTAGATTAAGAAGATTTCCAATAGAAGCACAGAAAATGAATGATAACTACACTTTGAAATGTGCCATTTTGATCCATATTTAAATAGCAAACTTTCTAGTATTAAAGTAGAAGGTTCTGGGCCTCTCCTGTGGCGCAGCAGTTGAGCGCTGGGTTGCGAAGCTGCCCACAGCATCTGCGGCGCCAGTTCGATCCCCAGCTGCCCTCCGGCCACCAGAGGAGGGTCCCGCATGGCGCGCAGACCTCTCCTGCCGCCCGCTGCTCCCCTCAGCAGTGTACTTCGGTCCTTCTGCCTGCTCTGCTCCCTGCTCTGGCTCTGGTGGATTCTCTCACCCTCCCATGCTTCTGACTGTACCCAGTGCTTGTATAAATAAATAAATTTAAAAAAAAAAAGTAGAAGGTACTGTCCCCTTGTGACAGAAATATAGCTTTATACATAAACCCTTCGCACAATGTATATTCAAGGTCACTTTTATTTAAGCAAGGCATCCCTGTTTACTCTAAAATATGGGATGTGCTAGCCCGTAACAAAGCAAATGAGGTGACTTAAGACTTTTTTCTTCTCTGGAGCTGGATTAAATTCCAGGGAAGCCATTAATTTCCTTCCAAGTCAGGACTGTTTTGACATCATTTCACCGTCTTGAAACTAACATATACATGGGGTTTGCCTAAAGCCAAGAGGGGATGGGGGAGTAGGTGAAATGATACTACAATTATTGATTAAGAAAACTTTTTTGAATGGCGCATGAAGGCCAATTCCCCCCAAAATTCTTCTGGTGACCAAATAGGGGTGAGATCCTATTTCTAGGTTATTGAAGTAGGAGTCAGATATAGTTCCTATCTTCTGTGAGAGTGTCCTGGTCCTATTAAAGGAGATAATAATCTATAATAGGTAGATATAAGAACATGGGAAATACAGATGGACAAGTGACACTGAACACACTGTCGCTCTAATATGTGGGTTACTATTATAAAATAATGGAACATTATAAAAAGAAACAAACAATACAGAGACTCGTGTCCTAACCAGGTTCCTCTAAGGCAGTCATGGAGGGCAGCCCTTTGAGTGTCCCAATAGGCTGCCAAGACTCAGAAATTCTTTGGGGGAGTTTTTTGAGTCTGGTGTGCGTTTGGATGCTGTGTGTTGTATTTCTTTTTTTTAATATTTTTTTCAAAGATTTCTTTATTTTATGCATTCAAGAACTGGGGTATAGGACAGAGGTGCAGAGGGTGAGAGGATTCACCAGAAACAGAGTGGCAACAGAACAGGCAGACAGACTGAAAGCAATGCTGCAGGGAGCAGTGGGCGAGACGGAAGAGGTCTGCTGCACCATGTAGGTAACTCTCTGGCCAGGATCCACCTCGTGCTGCAGAGGCGGCGGATAGCTTCATAGTTCTGTGCTTAACCCCTTTGGCCACCAGGGAGGCCCTCTAGTTGTATTTCTTTTAACATTTGACACACCATCTCCAGGCGACTTTGGTTAAAAAAAAACAAACTGGGACATCATTAATGGTCTTTTGGGATGGGTAAGAGGTATGGTTTAAAGGAATAAGACTGGTTTCCTTGTTTGTGTTATGATCTGGAATTTCCAAAAGAGAAGTTCCAGAGAATGGAGGGACACGACTCCTTGCATAGGAGCTGGAGGATCAGACAGGCAGTGAAGAGAGGGAGCAACTGAAGAGGGGGAGCCATTAAGAGGTGGAAAAGGGGGCAACCATTCTCATCAACTGTCCCTTGTGCTTCGATGTCCAGGTGAATGTCCATTCCGAGGCATGGAATATGATGACCTTCACTGCCAACTCTAATGACAGCGTGAAGAAAATCAGTGAACATGTCCGATCTCAGACCAAGGTTCCTGTGCAGGAACAGGTCCTTCTGCTCGGCTCAACAACCCTAGAACCTCGGAGAACGCTGTCCTCTTATGGCATTGACAAGGAGACAACCATCCACCTCACTCTGAAGGTAGTGAAGCCCAGTGATGAAGAGCTGTCCTTGATTCTGGTGGAGCAGGGTGACGAGGGGCAGAGGCACCTCCTCCAGGTGCGAAGGTCCAGCTCGGTGAAACAGGTGAAAAAGATGATTGAGAACGACACTGGTGTGCGCCCCAAGAGACAGATTGTGACTTGCAATGGGAAGAGACTGGAAGATGGGAAGACCATGGCAGAGTACGACATCAGAGGGGGCGATTTTCTCTTCCTGAACCGTTACTGTATTGGGGGGTGACCACCCTTGGGAAGGAGTGATACAGGAGAAAATAAATCTTATTTCCTTTTAGTTCTTACTGGCCAATCACATTCTATGCTAATATCCCAAAATTAATGAGAAACAAACTTATAGGAAAAGTAGATTTGGTGTGGAACAGGGAAGAAGCTGCAACTAAATCTACAATGCTTTGATTCTAACATAATTATTTGGCAATTAGTGTACAATATATTACTGAAAATATAAATTTTTTTAAGATTTATTTTATTTACACAAGAGCCAGGTACAGGCCAGATGCACAGGAGGGTGAGAGGATTCACCAGAGACAGAGTGGGGAACAGAACAGGCAGACTGACTGAAATACACTGTGGAGGGGAGCAGCGGGCAAGACAGGAGAGGTCTGCTCGCCATGTGGGTTGCTACGAGGCCAGCAGGGATCAAACCAGCACTGCAGAGGCTGCGGACAGCTTCACAGCGCTGTCCTCAACCACCTGTGCCACGAGGGAAGCCCAGACACATAAAATAAATTTTAAGGCACCTTTAAAGAAGCATTCAAAGCCATCTTGCAATTTAATGTTTACTTGGCTGACTTATAGAAAAACTAGCATATCCTTTCCCATTCAACAAACTCATGGTTCATTAATTTCTGTGCTTCTATGTTTGACCCAGGAATTCATCTACCATCTTATGCAATAATTGTTGAGCAAAATGGACTATCACTTATAGAGAACAGTGACATGATTATGAAGTAAGCTGCTTTCACTGGAGAACTAGGGATTTTATGGCTCTTGTGGAGGTTCTCTAGGAGCAGATAGGCTTTCAGAGGGAACAGGCTTTCTGAAAGGCAGGGCATTGTGGGCCTGTCTCTGTTCTGCATCTCCTTGGGCCTGGGAGTTCCTCTCAAGGCTAGGGGCAGCTATCTGAGTGAGGGTGGGCAGGAGCTAGTTTCTTACTGGACCCCAACACTGCCCAAGTTCTGGCCAATTGCCCTTCCTTCTCTCTGCTTTCCTTACTACCAGTTGTCAGTTCCATTTTTGGAAGCACTAGTGCTGTTCAATTTCACTCCCTTCATTTACTCCTCTGTCACTGTCACTCTCTCATCTCTCCCTACAGGTCTCGTGCATGGTTTTCTCACATCCTGACACACGTCCACCTTCTTCACCACTATACTAGTTCCTTCTTTCCTTTAAAAACTTGCTCAAGAACCACCTCCCAAAGAAGAGTTTCTCAAGTTAACCCCAGCCAGCAAAAATCACGCTGATAGGTCCTCCTGCTACACTTACTGGTCTAGAGATCTGTGGTGGGCACTAGTCACCAGGCTGGTGAGCATTAGGTTGGACTGAATCACTCTCAAGGACATGCTCCTTATTCTAGATGGGGGTTTCCTGTAGAATAGAACCTTTGATTTTCTTGTCAATTTGATACTCCTGTTGCAGATATCATAGGCCTTCCATGGGTTTTCCAGACTGTGTAAAAGCCATAGTTAAGCATCATGTCACTTGTTAGCTTACCAGCATATGGATTTTCAGAAGAGCTACAGTATCCCTGGGGGAGAGGAAAAGTATTCCCTAAACCATGCTTTCTCTTCCCTGGTTTAGGAGAAAGCTGGAGGGCCCTTTCTCCCTCCCTAAACTTGCATTTGTAGAGGATACAGGGATTTTCCCTCAAGCACATGAACATTTCTTCCTGGTAAAGGGACCTCCCCCATCAGCTCTCCTCTCCTCAAGGACAAATCTTGCAGATTCTCCTTTAAGAATGAACAGGCTGATCCTTCAGCCAGAAAGAAAAAGAAATATAATGGATGGTCTCAATCATAGCAGGAATCTAGAAAACTTAAATAAGAGACCAGGAAAAAGAATAACTGTAAGAAAGTAAAAATCAAAATCAACAAACAACAATGAAGCAGAGACACTATATGAGGGGTGGGGGGCGAGGAAAGGAGGGATTGGGGTCAAAATAAGGAGGTCGCAATTGTATGGGGAATATAAAAATAAAATTTAAATTTAAAAAAAAATTCTAAAAATATTTTTAAAAATGACCAATGATGTAAAAAATGAAAAATTAATGTAAAAATTGTAAGTCCATATTTTACATAACAATTGAAGTAAAATTCTGGAAGAGCAAAAAAAAAAAAAAAAAAAAAAAAGAATGAACAGGCTGAAAGCTCAAGTGACAGACTTTCCAGGGCGCATTTCATCCTCGGGGCTGGGCTAACACTTTTTTCCCTCCCCAACAATGCTCACTGTCTAGTCTGCCTTCTCCCCACCAATCTCCTCACTGCGCCCTTCACTTCTTTATTCCTCAGGGTGTAGATGAGTGGGTTGAGGGCCGGTGTGACCACAGTGTAGAAAAGTGAGACAAACTTTCCCCGTGCCTGGTTGTAGCTGTGCCTGGGTTGCAGGTAGGTGTACATGGCTGAGCCATAGAACAGGCAGACCGCGGTCAGGTGGGACCCGCATGTGCCCAGCGCTCTCTTCCGGCCCCCGCTGGTTCGCATGCCCCACACTGCGCGCGCCACGGCCCCATAGCAGGCCAGTATCACAGTGGATGGCACCAGCAGGATGACCACGCGGGCAGCGAACATCTGGCGCTCGGTGGCATCTCGGCTGCCACCACAGGCCAGTTTGAGCAGCGCCGGCAGCTCACAGATGAAGTGATCCAGTCGGTAGGGTGGGCACAGTGGCCGCGTGGCCAGGAGCGCAGTTTGCGCGGCGGAGTTGGTGAGGCCGCCCAGCCAGGAGGCGGCCGCCAGTGCGCGGCAGAGTTGGGGCGCCGCGAGCCCCGCGTAGCGCAGCGGGCGGCACACGGCAGCCGCGCGGTCCAGCGCCATCACCGCCAGGAGGACGCACTCGGCCGACCCCAGCGCCAGCGACGTGTACAGCTGAGCGATGCAGCCGCCGCGCTGCAGCCACAGCGCGCGGCCGCGCAGGTTGACCAGCAGCGGCGGCACCACGCTCGTGGTGAAGCCGACGTCCACCAGGGCCAGGTGACTCAGGAAGTAGTACATGGGCGTGTGCAGGCGCGGGTCGCGCACGGCCAGCAGCACCAGCGCCGAGTTGCCAGTGAGAGTCAGGAGGTAGCAGAAAAGCACAACCGCGAAGAGGACCGGCTGCAGGGAGGGCCAGTCCATGAAACCCAGCAGGAGAAAGCCCTCCTCTGTGCTGTGGTTGGCCTAAAGGAGGGAAACTCCCAGAAGGTTTAGAAGCAGGACATGTGCAAAGGTGTCATCATGCCTTAGAAAGAAAGGAAATCCAGGGTATGTGGGGCGAGCAGGGGGAAGGGGTAGAAACACACCCTGTGCTTGCCTAATGTTGAAACCACGGATCTGAACCCTTATGACCCGACACGTGGGAGCTGTGCTCTCTGGGGTCTGGTTTTCCCAGTCGGTGCTTTTCAGCTACTTGTCTGGTTCTGATTGGACTCCTCCGATCAAAGTAGAACTATGATTTTCGTCCTAAACATTAAACAGTTCAGATCTCTTTTATTTTTTTCTTATTTTTTTAAAAATTCTGAACACTTTCGCTCCTCCATATGTGCACATTTCACTCACCCTCCATTAAGCCCCTTGCCAGGACCCCCTGTAGCTTTCTTTTTCATCCTGTCTTCCCTCACCCATCCTTCTGATAACCATTAAACTCTTTCACTAACTCTGACATATATGCCTGCTGTATTTTGCCTTGAAGTCTAGCAATTTTGTCCCCCAAAGTCACTATTTCATTTTTTCACAGCTGTGTCATATTCCATTGAATGTATCCTCCCCAAAGTCTTTATCCACTCATCTGCTGACTTGAAGACAGGTTTCACTCTGAGACTCCTTCCTGCTTTGGAAATGGGAGTGCCTAAAAATAAGTGTGGCCTCCAAGCTTCCTATACTGGTATGGCCTTTTCTTTTTTTAATTTTTTAACAAATATTTCATTTATTTATTTTATTTATTTATACAAGCACTGGGTACAGTCAGAAGCACCGGAGGGTGAAAGAATTCACCAGAGCCAGAGCAGGGAACAGAGCAGGCAGAAGGACCAAAGTACACTGCTTAGGGGAGCAGAGGGCGGCAGTCTGCGCGCCATGTGGGACCCTCCTCCAGTTGCTGGGGAGCAACCAGGGGTCGAACCAGCGCTGCAGAGGCTGCGGGCAGCTTCGCAACCTAGCACTCAACCGCTGCACCACCGGGGAGGCCCTGGTATGGCCTTTTTCATTTCAGGTGCTCAACTTCTGGAAATACAACCCTTCATTCTCCTGACCACTGTATTCTAATCTGTAATGAGTCCCTCTTAGAGGCTGCTTTCATTATCCGTCCCTCTCCCACTTATGACCAAGTGTGATGACCACAGCCCACACTGATCAGCTCATGTCGACCAACCTTTAAATCAAGAGTCATCAGGGTAGAGGAAAGAGACTGAACTAGAAGTCAGGGACCTGGGCTCCACCTGACTTGACTGCCTTTGGCCAGTTATTTGATATGGGGTAGTCACTTCATTTCCCTTTGCGTCAATTTTTTCACATGTAAAAGGAAGACCTTGAGCTAAATGACCCCTAAACTTCCTGTATTATCCCATAGCTCTAATTTCAATATTTTCAAATCAGTGTAAAGGGGACAGAGATACCATTAGCCCTTGAAAATGGTGCTGAATCAAATTTCTTAATGGCACAAAAACCATAATGATTGACATAATGGATACAAGGTACACAGAAATCTTTCTACTGCATGTGTCACAGCAGGCATCATTGTGCAGATAACTTTTTAAGCATCATATTCACTATACTTAATTTAAAAATCATTATGCCCTCATTTTTTTTATTTTTCAGATTGCCAGTTTTCCCCAAACACAACATCATATTTATGTGCCTATCTCATTTTATCCTCATTTGGCAGAAAAGGTATTAATGAATTCAAGAACAGGAGTACAAGACTCAGACTACCTGAATTTGAGTCTGGACCCTGCAATTTCTTGGGTAAGCAACCTTGGACATGGGGCTTAACTGCTCTGTGGCTAGGTTTCCTCAAATGAAAATGAATTTGAAAGGTGGGTTCAAAACACAAA